GGGGGGGCGGGGGGGGCTTCTAGGGTTTAAGGGATGTAGGCATTTATTACAAGGCTTACGGAAGTGGCAGCGGTGTTCCCTGGTGGACTAGTGGCTTCGTGCAGCCGCAGCAGCCCCGGGACGAACTGGATCAAGCCCTCCATGTGAGGTGACCGGCGCACCTTCTCAGAACGCTGTTTTGGTGAGCTCCTTTCTACGTCAACCTTCTCAGAACTCTGCGAAGTTCCCAGCCCTGAATGAACCCTAAACCGTAATCCTTCGTGATTTGGCTGCCTTGTTGACGTAAAGGCCGCACTTGGCGAAGACCTCTTGCAATGTCTGCGTGATGACGCGGCCCAGCTGCTCCTTCCATGGCTTCGGGTCTTCGGGTCTGCTTGGATTTCCACGTGTAGTTGCAAAGTGAGATTCTAAGCAAGACAGCAGTACGTCTGGCTGGTTGAAACTTTATTTTGTTGCTTCTTACAAACCTTCAAGTAGGCAGGAAGGCTCCACCCTGGGCAGCGCGTTTTGCCGATGGGTACTTTGGTGAGGGAGTTGAGAGAAGAGGGTGGGGGATTCCCCGGACAGCTTTTGCATGCGTCTGAAGTCCGGATTCCTTTTAGAACCGTAAACCGGGAGACCTGCTGATCCCTGCAGATTCAGCCAGATTCTCGCACCTATGCGCGAAACATGAACAACAACGTGTGCATCAGCTAATAATAATGTGACTTCGTGAAGAGAGAAGAATAATAGAATGAAGAGAGCACACGGCATGAACTATATTTGTAGGGGCTCTCAGAATTACACCTTTCATATTATTTAAACGGGCTATTATTCTATTATTACGGGGGGCCCTATTATAATAAGTGAGAAGATAAAGGCCCCCACATAGTATTATTAAGGGAAGAGAATACAAGGATACTAAAAGTGAAGAAGATAAGGACAAAACCAGTAAAAAGACCATTTAATTTAGTAATTTCTAATGATAGAAAAGTAGTAGTATTAGGATCAAAGGTTAGGATCTTTGTACTCTCTTATCTTTCTACTCTTTTATCCTCTTTAAATAGGCTTACCAAGAGCTACAGATGAACGAAGAAAAAGAGAACAAAGATAATTTGTATTAATATTAAGACGTGAAGATACTAATACTGTGGGGCCCTTGTAATATAGTATAATTAAGTGAGCAAAGGGCCCCAATATAATATTATTATTAACCCGGGCTTTTAATAAGAACTAACTTGCCCGGACAATAAGATAAAAGAATTGAACGAATGAGCGAGATATTGATTGGTTTTTTGGGTGTCTTTTTAACCGGCTTTTCTAACCAACACCAGATATTAAGATGGCATGGTTTCCAGGGCTGGTTCATTAACCTCTTTTACACGGCTAACCATTGAGCCCCAGGGATAGGCTAATAAAGGGGTGAACGAAGTGAACAAGTGAAGTGAATTATAAACTTGTGCATGAATTTAGTGAATGAGCCCCAAAGACCCTATAGAATTGAGTTCCCCGGTGAATAGAATGATTGTGATGAAAGTAGTACTACGGGGGCTTATTTAAAGCGAGGCCGTGTCTGCCAAAAACCATCAGAACTCGATGCCGAACATGAGAAACATCCATGCGAAAATGAAACGAGCACGCACGATTCCCTTTCTGGATGTAACCTCTGAAGAACCTGGTCCCTGATGCCAGAAGAAGCCCTGCGCAAAAGTGGCTGCAAAGCTTCAACCGCCGATGGCGCGAAGTTCAAGGTTTACGTGATCTAGGGCTCATGGCTTCATAGCTTGGGTCGTTTGGAAAGGATACCCGAACCCTAAGCCCTAGCCCTAAACCCTAAACCCGAAACCCTAAACCCTAAACCCTAAACCTGGGTTGACACAAGAACCGCCCGTGTCCCGCGGCACGTCGTGCTGAAGGTGGTGCAAGTCGACCTTCAAGAGGCCTGGGACTTGCTCAGCCTACACCCTAAACATAACTAAACAGGGTTCAGGGTTTAGGGTTTAGGGTTTAGGGCTTCGGGTTTAGGGTTTAGGGTTTCGGGTTTAGGGTTTGGGATTAGGGTTGATGGGCTACCCAGCAGAACCGGGGTTCATGATGCGCGAAGGACTCTCTCGTGGAGGAGGCTAAGAAAAAAGCGGGGATAGGGTCTAGGTTTAGGGTTTAGGGTCAGGGTTTTTAGGGTTTTTAGGGTTTTTAGGGTTTTTGGGGTTTTTGGGGCTTTTAGGGCTTTTAGGGTTTTTAGGGTTTTTAGGGTTTTTAGGGTTGTTAGGGTTTTTAGGGGTTTTAGGGTTTTTAGGGTTTTTAGGGTTTTGGGCGTTTTTAGGGTTTTTAGGGTGTTTAGGGTGTTTAGGGTGGTTAGGGTGTTTAGGGTGTTTAGGGTGTTTAGGGTTTAGGGTTTAGGGTTTAGGGCCAGTCCTCCCCCTCACCCGTCCGGGATGAGCCGGCGGCCATTTTCATCCGGGAGCTCATGCCACAGCTGGCAAGCCTCTGCCAGTGGATCCTGTGCTTCAAAATGATGATGATGGGTTCAGGATGAAGCCCTAAACCCTAAACCCTAAACCATCCTAAACCATCCTAAACCGTCCTAAACCATCCTAAACCCTAAACCCTAAACCCTAAACCCTATAAACCCTAAACCCTAAACCCTAAAAACCCTAAACCCTACACCCTAAACCCAGCACCGAGTATCGCGCGAATTGGACGCGTCTAAGATAGTCCAACTCTAGAGCGGCTGCTTGAGGAAATGTAATTAATTTGATGGGGAATTTTGAGGTTTGCTAAGGGTTTAGGGTTTAGGGTTTAGGGTTTAGGGTTTGGGGTTTAGGGTTTAGGGTTTAGGGTTTAGGGTTTAGGGTTTAGAGTTTAGGGTTTAGGGTGTACTACAACTACAATTACCTGGTATGGTAACTGTCTCTGCTACCAGAGACGGGGCTTGGCTTTAGTAGGGCACACATGCGAGCGATACCCAGCTCGTCCTGGAAGAAGCGAGCACAGCTGATGGCAATTCGATGAGCAGGGGTCACGTAGTCGCGGTAGGCGGCTGAGTCGCAACATTGAGGTTCAGGGTTTGGGGCTGAGGGTTTAGGGTTTAGGGTTCTGAATATGGCGGTTGTATTTGCGGCCCCCTGCGTGGTGCCTGAAAATGAACGAATCACAATGGGGAACCAGGAGATGTCCGTCAATGTCAGCCCCGACATGAAAACTGTGGGCGACACGGGATTCCATGACGCGCTTGTGGTAGGCGATGACCCGAGGCCTTGTGCTGTGAGGAAGCCACGATCCAATCACCCAGTCAATTAGGGTTTACCAGTTTACCTTCGGCAACCAAAAATGCCCAAAAGTACAACTTTCGATTGGAAAGATCTGGTTTTTGGAAGAAAGAAGAAACCCGGTTTTCGCGAACTTTGCACGGTTGTTTCCCGGGGTTTGGTCCAACTGTTCTTGTAGCTCTACCTGCTCCTAGGGCTTAGGGCAGCCCCAGCTCGGTATCCTCGGCTGGCTCCTTTAAAGAGCAGGACCCTGTAAAACAAGGAGCCCCTCTCCTCCGGTAGCCTGCTCCTTGCAAAGGCACGTCGCTGAAGGAGTGCGCTTCAGGTACTCCGGTGCCCAAAAAAGGAGGTTTAGGGTTTAGGGTTTAGGGTTTAGGTTTTAGGGTTTAGGGTTTAGGGTAGGTGGCTGCAAACCTGCCACTGGAGCACAGAGGCCCATGGGGGCCACGTAGCCGAGACCGGTGCTGAAAACCCTAAACCCTAAACCCTAAACCCTAAACCCTAAACCGCTGGCACCACTCTGAAGCAGGGAGGCCCAAGAGATCGTCCAAGAGTAGCCCGCGGCACCGCTAGAAGGGTTCGGAAAACGCCAGAAACTGCTTTGGGTTCTGGGAGGAGCCCCAAGGTATAGCCAACATCCGGAAGTCATGGTTATGCCGGTGGGGCTTCACTCTCACCTGGCACACTCAAACCGTGAGCCGTTGGTTCGCAACACAGGTGAAGCTTCAGAAGCTCTGAAGCTCCCGAGCTTCGTTTCAGCCTGAAGCCCGAGCTTGTGTGTCAGTTTTCCTTTTGAAGCTTGAGGCCTGAAGCTCGCGGGCCTCAGTTGCGCGAGCTTCGCGAGATTCGCGCTTCGCCTGACATCTGAAGCTCGCGAGCTTCGCTATGTGAAACCTGAAACCTGCCGTCTGAAGCTCGCGAGCTTCGCGAGCTTCGCGAGGTTTCGCGACTTCGCTGCGGAAGCCTGAAGTCTGAAGTTCGTGAGCTCCGCGAGCTTCGCGAGCTTCGCCTGAAGTTCGTGAGCTTTGCTTTGAAGGATGAGGGCTGAAGCTCGCGAGGTTCGCGCTTCGCGCTTCAAGAATGAAGCTTCTGAGACTGACCCTGGCACACAATCGAACCTTCTTTATTATGTAGTACGTATTCTGGTTCCGTCTCATTATGTGGGATTACGTTGTGTTGGTTTGACTTAGCTGGTCGCATCTTCTGAACTGTCTGTATTGCAGCATATTATGCTACACCCTGATATACGCTACGCACTCGTAACCTTGACAGATTTTAGGATATGTTGAGTTACAGTTGTCTTTGCGGCCCCAACATGAAGTCTAAGCCAGCTACTTCAAATCTCGGGCTGACCCTAAACCCTAAACCCTAAACCCTAAACCCTAAACCCTAAACCCTAAAACCCTAAACCCTAAGCCCTCGGAGTTTCTCATTCTATTTTTTTTGCGGGGGGGAGGGGGTCGAAGGGGCAGAATGTCACAAAGGATCCTAGGCCCCTGGGAGGACCGACTGTAGAAAGTAGAACCCCAACATCTGCTTCCCTATACCATAAAGAATCTACAGGGGGTAAGAACGTAGAGTTTTTTGTTGAGAGTCTGGGAGGCTTCAGTAAAAGACCCACAACCAGCTGACACTCACTACGAATCTTAACCTAGAACCCATGCCCCAACCCAAACCCTACGCCCCGTACACCAAACCCCAAAACCCAAACCTCAACCCCAAAACCCAACCAAGCCCCAAACCCCAAACCCCAAACCCTAAATCCAGCAGCCAAACCACATAATCGTGTTGACGTACTTGATCTTCGGCAAGACTTTCAGGTGTGCCTCAATCCGCATGATCTGGGCTTATGAGGTGTGACGCGGGCATCAAATTCAACAAACACTGGCGTTTAGGGTGTCGGGATTTGGAATGTTTGGATGATCTAGCATGTTGAGGCGGAAAGCACGCAGGGCGTTCGGATAGGGCGAGTGGGTTTGGGAGCGGATTTGTGCGACGAACGCTGTGATGACAAATGCTGCTACAGCTGTTACCACTGCAGCTGTTAGAGATAAACCCTATAAACTCTAAACCCCACCACGAGATCAGAAACTGCAAAACTGGCCCGTGCATCCAAAGCGATGCCAGCCCAATCCTTGAACCATATCCCCCCACCCCCACCCCCCGCCGTTACCCCCCTTATACCCCCCTCATACACCCTGAACCCTAAACCCTAAACCCTAAACCCTAAACCCTAAACCCTAAACCCTACAAAAACCCCCATCCTAACAGTGACTGAATCCCCACCCGCAGGATCGCATCCTGGGCTCCCAGCCAACACCCTCTGCTCGCGGTTCAGCAAGTCCTCCACATTGACCTTTGAGGCGAGTTTAGGGTGTAGGGTTTGGGGTTTAGGGTTTCGGGTTTGGGGTTTAAGGCTTAGGGTTTGGGGTTTAGGGTTTAGGGTTTGGTCTTGCGTGGCTTGAGTAGTGGGTTCGAACCCCGTTGGAACGGTTCTGCCCGAAGCTCGACATACTCCCCCCTAAACCCTAAACCCTAAACCCTAAACCCTAAACCCTAAACCGTGCACCCCTCAAGCTCAAATAAGCTGAGTGGCTGTTGATCCCCAAGTCCCCCATAAACGAACACCCCCAAACACCGATTGGATCCCTTATGTGATCGGGCACCTACTACATGCTTACCTACCTAATTACCCACCTAAAACCTACCAAACTGACCCAAACCAGACTTGAATGCTGCCTCAACCCTAATAGGACCCAGCTAAAACTGTACCCGAACCCTACTGCCATGACGTACCCTAGGCCCTAAACCCTGCCCAAACCCTAAACCCAAACCCTACAGGCCCTACATCCGTCCTAATCTCTCCTACGTGGTCTGACGCTTTGTCCAGGAGCAGGGAGGGCCCAAACTAAACACCCCGCCCCCCCCCCCCCCCCCCCCCCCACCACAGAGTTAGAGGGAGGGGAAGGCGCTGGTTTGGGGTTTCCGAAATTAGGGCTACCTTAAACTCGTAAACCCCCATTAAACCCTAAACCCTCTGAACTCTAAGGGTAGATACATGGTCCCTTAGTATGGGCCCTCAAAAGGGTACCCCTTATATGACCCTTATATAACCCTTATAAACTCTATACGAATTATAAGGGCCATTAAGGGCCCATGCATCAGAACCCGTTAAAGGAGGTGAGAGGACCCTACTAAGGGCCCACGAACCTACCCTTGGATAATCCCGAAACCCTAAACCCTAAACCCGAGACCCTAGTTAAACCCTAAGCCCTAAACCCTAAACCTTACATCCTAAACCCTAAACCCTAAACCCTAAACCCTAAACCCTAAACCCTAAACCCTAAACCCTAAACCTTAAATCCTAAATCCTTGCAACTTGCCTTCAGCCGTAGGATGTCCGGATCCGCGACCGCCAGCAAGACCTCGGAAGCCCCGAGGCCGCTGTCGATCAGGACTTAGCAATTTAGGGGTGGGTTTAGGGTTTAGGGTTTAGGGTTTAGGGTTTAGGGTTTAGGGTTTAGGGTTTAGGGTTTAGGGTTTGGGGTTTGGGGTTTGGGGTTTGGGGTTTGGGGTTTGGGGTTTGGGGTTTGGGGTTTAGGGTTTAGGGCTTAGGGTCTGTGGAGTCTATGGCTTCAGGTCTTTAGGACACGTGTCTATTGTTGAGACCCTATCCAGGTCCTGAATCCCCCACTATCACGCCCGCCATCGCCGAACCCAGTTGCGTTTCTTCAAATCCTGGCCCCATGGTGGCTTAAGCTGTCCCATGCAAAAGCCCTCAACTAAGGGAACCAACCATTGCGGGAGTGAGTAGTATATTCTTTGATTCGGATTCAGGGACGTTGGGAGCTCTGGGTAGCCATGTCCAGTGTTTTCAAGCAAGGGCCGTGCCACCACATTGGCAAGTACACGCGATGTGGGTCGAGTTACGCCATGCACGCACACGCGCATTTTCCCAAGGCCTTAGAACCTAGGCTTACCCATTCTGTCTACAAGGCTGTAGCCACAGGTGCAGGTGGTACAAATGCAAGCAGACTGGCGCATACTCGCGCGAAGTCTTCGGCACTGCATTGCCATGCTGTCCGAGCGTGCCGTCGCGACAGCAAGAGCACGACTACTGCGCAGCAGCTGGCAATCACAGGCCCGCGAACCCTTCACGTTTACAAGCAGTTTCGGTGCTGGGGCTCAGGGGGAGTGGCCCTAGTCGAACCTGCGTCGGAGCCCATAGTTGGACATACACCCGCTCAGCGCAGCAGCCACGCACCCTGCATCCTCAACCCCAAGTAGCCCCCTAAACCCTGAACTCTAAACCCCAAACCCCAACCCTAAACCCTTCCCTGCATCTTCGACCCCCAGAACACTGCACACCTCCTCAGCCAAGCACCACTGCAGGCTTGTGGGTTGAGATCATTCTGATGACTTCATCCTCGCAACGAGAATGCACTTCACTCCCTGCTCCCTAAGGTTCAAGGCTTAGGGTTTAGGGTTTCGGGTTTAGGGTCTAGGGTTTAGGCTTAGGGTTTAGGGTTTAGGGTTTAGGGTTTAGGGTTTAGGGTTCAGGGTTCAGGGTTCAGGGTTTAGGGTTTAGGGTTTAGGGTTTAGGGTTTAGGGTTTAGGGTTTAGGGTTTAGGGTCCGTACTAGTTCCCAGGCTCGTACTCGGAATTTCACCTCGACTTCGAAGTAGAAACCCCTAAACCCGGGTTTAGGGGTTAGGGTGGCACTCCACATCCTCAAGTCCATACGTACCAAGGCAGCCACCCTGCTAACTGGACGAGAGGCTCAAATCTCGCAGTTGAATTCTTTCTTCTTCTCTCTCTTTCTCTATCTCTCTCTCTCTCTCTTCCTCTCTCTTCCCCTCCCTCCCTCCTCATTCGGTCTTCTTAGGGTTTAGGGCATAGGGCTTAAGGTCACAGGGCCTGAGAAACTTGGAGAGCTCAACTGCTCTGCCCGCCGCGCTGTTTACTGCTGGGTCTCCGGCCCTGTGCTCGTTGACCTTCTGCTGCTTCTCGTATGCGTAGCCTCGGACTCCGAAGCTCTCTCAAAGACTGGCTGGCTCTTAGTAGGGAATGAGGGAATGAGGGCCCTACATAATCCCTTAAAGGGTATAGAGTGCCTCATTCCCTACTAAAGAACAGGGGGAAGAAGCCAACGCAAGGCCATGGCCCCCCAAACCTCTGATACAGTTAGGCTTTGAGATCGTCGATATGGGCTGAAGTTGAGGACTCAGGGTCGTTGAAAGGGTCTAGGAAACTGCTCAGAGATATTTAGGTTTGACCGAAGGCTTTAAAGCCCCCATTGGCTTAAAGATGAGGAAGAGGAGGGTAAGATGAAATTGCAAGGGCTTCCGCTTTCAGGAGAATCGTCCATGGCATGCTGAAGTAACAGTGGCGACCTCCATCAACCAACGGCTAGGTCGCAGAAAGCTGCGTGCCACAAGCCAAAGTAGATTTGCGGTCTGCTTTACAAAGTGAAGGGCTTCGGGGCTCACTACCACGCAGTTCGGCAGAAGTCGTTGACCCACTCGCACTCGAGAAAGCAAACCTACCCTTAACCCCTAACCCCTAACCTCTAAACCCTAAACCCTAAACCCTACACGCTAAACCCTAAACCCTAAACCCTAAACCCCACAAACCCCAAGCCCTATAAGCCCGAAGCCCCAAACCCCAAACCCCAACCCCAGAGTCCCTTTTGGGCACCCCCAGCTCTATGCAAGGAATGTACCAGAGCAGAGACCTCGAGAGGGCCCCACAAGGGAGCCCTTCTCTAAGGTTTAGGGTTTGGGGTTTGGGGTTTAGGGTTTAGGGTTTGGGGTTTGGGGTTTAGGGTTTAGGGTTTGGGGTTTAGGGCTTGGGGCTTAGGATTTTTGATGAACTGCATGTGAAGTTAAAGGAGCTCGCGCGGTATTTTCTTCCATGGCTAAGCGAAAGATGCTTAGAGGCACCACTTAAACACAAGAAAAGAGCGAAGGAAGCAGCTGCACTGTACTAGACGCTAGGATCTGTCAACTTCTGCTTCTAGCTATCTACACGAACACTATACATCTAGAGATACATGCCCCAAGACATCTTACCTCTGCGTAGCCTTCCTTTAGGGGCCAGAAAAGCCACGGAACACAAAGCTTTAAGCTGCACAACCTGACACCTCCACCAGCCTGGAGCATGTTCAACCCCTAAACCCGAAACTCCAACCCTAAACCTTTCTGAAACCCTAAACCCTCAACCCTCAACCCTCAACCCTAAACCCTAAGCCCTCAGCCCTCAGCCCTAAGCCCTAAACCCTGGCTGAGGATGCCCCTACCCTCGGAGAGCTGAGCCGGAGACTTCCCTTCTCATGCTCGACCTCCGGCTTGCCACCCCTCAGGCAGCCTGGCGGTCATTCTGACGGGTTTAGGGTTTAGGGTTTAGGGCTTAGGGCTTAGGGCTTAGGGTTTAGGGGAGTTAGGAGGTGGAGGGTTTACGGTTGAGGGTTGAGGGTTTGGGGTTTAGGGAACGGGGGAGTGAGGTTTGAGGGTTGAAGGTTTAGGGTTTGGGCTGAGGAGGTTCGGCGGAGTTCAGGGTTTGGGGACGCCAGTCGGAGGCAGCTTGCAAAGCAAGGCCACCCGTAACCATAAACCCAAAACCCTCAACTCCGGCTAATGCAAGAGAATCACCCGTGTGAGCGATGGCGACCAATAACCCCATAACTCCAGAACTCGATAACTCCATGACCATAAAACCCTAAAACCCTATAATCCTAACAACCCTGCAACCCTACAGCCCCATCGCCCTGTCACCCCATAACCCTATACCCCCATAGCCCTACAACCCTTTACCCCTGTAGCGGTACTACCCTAAACCGCCAACTCTATAATTAATCCTATAGCCCTATAACCCTATCACGCTGCAACCCTAAGCCACAAACCCATCTGAACCCTAAACCCTAAACCCGAAACCCTAAACCCTAAACCCGAAACCCTAAACCCTAAACCCGAAACTCTAAACCCTAAACCCTGAACCCGAAACCCTGAACTCTGAGCTTCTTCTTCTCCTACAATGGCCACCAGGGTCATGCAAGTCGAGCTGGGGGATCGAGGTCTGGTAAGGGCGTGGGATTTCTGGGATTTATGGGGTTACATGGGGTTCTATATGAATGTATAGGATTCTACGGGAATTGATGGGATTTTATGAGAATTTCTCGGATTCATGGGGTTCTCTGGGAGTTATGGGATTTCTTATGGGAGTTTGAAGGATTGCATGGGATTTACTGTGATCTGATGGGAGTTTATGGGATTTTATGGGATGTAGGGTTTAGGCCTTATGGGCTTTCTGGGAGTAAGGGTTGAGTGCTTCCCTTCTCTTCTTTCTGGCGGATGGCTTTTCACGCACATCTGGCTCTAATTATGAGGAGGAATGCCAATCGATTTCAACATTGTCATGGCACCATGGACAAAACGCAATGTACTATTCCATGAGGCTAGCTCTAAGATTCTTAGAATATGCCAATCAGGGCACTATCTACACAAGTCCATCCTGTATAGTGCGGGGGAAGGCTACCTGAAATAATTGCTAGATGCACGAAGTACAAGTCGGCCCCTCAGATCAGTCGTGGGGAGGGCGGTAATCTACTTAAGGGCTGAGTGAATTAACGAAATCATTCTTGTGAAACGAGATAGATGGCATAACGTCATATCTCTAAAATACACCAGTCTACTGCTCAGAATAGCAGGATAGTAAGTAGTTTCATGTGTTAATCCCCGATTCCACATGGCCTGGAACGATTTTTGCATGCATGCGGGAGGACTGTCGTGACTGTAGTGGAGACACAGAAATATATGGCAAAGCCTACGGATAAACGAATGCTACCTGCTCACAGCGTTCCCAGATGCTGACGGGGGTACTTCTTGGTCTTGGGGTGGCTTAAGTGGGATCGAGGGGGGTGGTATTGAGGGGCATTCGCAATGCTCTCTCGATCAAAAGTGTACGTACAGATCAGCTTGTATCCGAACAGAGCTGCCGCTTCTGTTTCAGTTTTCTGTGTCGTACCTCATGTACTTGGTTGTCTTGCCGGGACAGTTCTATGGGGGAGGTTGGTGCCTTACTTAACTGATTTAACCCTTAACCCTCAAGCCCTAAACCCCGAAACCCCAAACCCACGGGTTATCACACACACACACACATATATCTGTATATATATATATGTATACACATATATGTATGTACTATATATATATATATATTCTCAAGGCATGGCAGCGTGACTTTTGAAAATTTGCCTCATGTCAACTGGCTCGCCTGGAAGAGCCGGGGGGGGGGGGGGGGGCACTTTTCCGGGGGCCGATGTAGAAGGTCATATAATGGCCATAGGGTTTAGGGTTTCGGGTTTAGGGTTTAGGGACCATAGGGGAATATTGTCAGTAATTGTATAGGGGCCTTCCTCTTAGTGATTAGGTCATATAGGGGCCTTAATGATTAGAACAGGGCTTTGGGGGTTATTACAGTATACGTAAGATAGAAAGGGAATTATAGGGGAATACTATCAGTAATTATTCCGACCCCTATAGTAGAAACGGTTGTGCTACCCCCTTTGCCGGGGAAAGGCAGCGGGTGTAGGTACTCTGGCTTGACTTCTACCCAGGGTTTAGGGTTTTGGGTTTAGGGTTTTGGGGGCTTAAGTGCTTAAGAGAGAGAGTGGTGACTTTGCAGTGCATGGACGAAGCCGTCAGGGCGTGC